CCGCGGGCAGCACCAGAGCAACCAAAGCACAGGAGAATGGGGGCAGTGATAGTTGGCGTGTCCTCATCCCAGCAGGAACCGAGGTCAGGGAGAAACTCAGTTTCACTTGGCTCCCCAAGATCTCTAAAAACACCGGGCAATCTCTCCTGGCATTTTCAGGAAACCACAATTGTTTACCAGCTGAGTTTTAGCATGATTGCTTTTCTAGAGCTGTGAGCAGATAGGCAAGACGTACTGAGGTGCCGGTGTCATTTGTTTGAGGCAGATCATTGTTAACCAAGTTTATTAATTAGAAGATGATTGCAAGGTACTGAACTTGCCTGTGAGGCACACGGATTCTTTCCCTTTTCCACCTGCTCAGTTCCTAGCTAGCAGTTGTGCAGGTTTCCCTGCTTTTTAGGAAAATGTTCCAACAGAATTGCATTCAACTTCAATGGAAAGGTTGGTTATCCTCTGTCTGGAAGTTCTATCCTCTGTCCTGGAAGAATCCTGAAAAGGGCTGTGAGTGGCTTCATCTGCTCCTGAGGTCCTGAGGCGCCCAGAGTGGAGCAGGTTTTGTGCCCAGGCGCCGGGTGCCTTGGGATCTCTCTAGACATCCCTGGTGTGTCACACATTGCCTGGGTGTTTTTGCGTTCAGATTACACAGGCTTGGCTTTGGTTATGTGGTTTTTCCCCCTCTTATTTTGGTAACTCTGGCATTATTTCTGTTCCCATATCTGTACGCCTGAACTTGTACGTGTGTTTCTGGCATGTGGAATTATCTTATGTGAAACTCAAAGTATTTTACATTTTCAGGTTAAGTGCACAGAATTAGAAGGCGGGGGGGTGTGGGGGGGAGAACAGTTGAACACTTCGTACAAAATAATTGAATAATGAAATTGTGGACTATAATTAGTTTAAATGTAATTCAAATGGGTCCAACTGCAGGAATTATGGAGGAGAGTTATATAGCAAGGCTGTCAGTACAAGTAAAAATAGATGCTGCTTCACTGCCTTTCCTATATAGTAAATATATCTTAAAAGCAATTCTCTGATAAGTACATACCTGCACTTAAAGAAGAGCATCTTTGCTTTTTGCCTTTTGCAGCCCATACAAGCACAATTTACAAATTTCTTTCATAAATGTGATAGTTCAGAGAATTTCTTAGTTAGCAAAGATTTTTTTTTTTTTTTTGAAAAATGTATCCAGCCTTATATTGCTTCTGAATTTCATTTTCACTGTGTTAGAAAGCAAACATGCTACTTGCAGGAGAGCTCTGTATGTCAGAGTTTAAATAATGTTAAAGTAGTAAGTTCTGTGTATGTGCTTATTTGCCTGATCTTTGATGTTTCTATTGGCATTCGCACTCCTAGTAAAATAAACTGTAGGAAAGTATACCACTTCAAGTGAATGCAACTAATAAAATATAGTTTCAAACACACAGAGATGCTGCAAACATTGAGAAATTAGAAAAAGGAAAAAAGTTTGCATAATTAAAAGAAATTTCAATAGTTTTTTTTTCTCCCAAATAATACTCTCACCAAACAAGTATTAATCTATTGACAAACTAAGTTAAACATAACAAAATTTGGTACTTTTTGGTATTATTTTTGAAACTGAGGAAATGGTCATGTGTGTCCCCTAGCTCAAGCCATTCTAGAAGACTTTTGCAAATATAGATTTCTTCACTGCATGCTAATGCAAAAAATATGCTTATGGTTAACTATTAACCTATGCTTTCAAATAACACTAATGATTGCAATGTGCTGGAATAAATGCTCATGTTTCATGGGATAAGAACAGTTCTGTTCTCTTAAGCTTAAAGTTTCCAAAGCCTAATCCTGCCTTTATAGCCTCTGCCAAATGCATTGGTATTTAATATGCATCAGTAAATAAACTTCCAATTATTGTGCAGTGAGCATATCCAAAGATAGCATGACAATGTGAAACTACTGGTCTATCTAGCAATTATTCCAAATGAAGAATGTTGATGATGTGATTTCACCCTCTCCTTAGGAGAGAGAATTCAGGCTTCCTCCTGCTTCCTTTGGCAGCCTCATAACGCGGAAAATAAATTTGTTGTAGGCAAGTAAAATTCAAAGAATTTTTGCCCTGGCTAAACAGATTTGTCCCCGTGATTAGAACTAGCATTAAGTTTTTGTTATTATTATTTATAAAGGTGCACAATGTGTTCTAAATGAAAAAGATAAATTGGTGGAATTTCTAAAGTGTTTGTGAAAGATATTTTGAAAAACTCGCCAAGTGAATGCACTATATGATATATGTTGTTATGCCCCGACCTAGTGTAAACGTTCCTCTCTTTAGTCTTACTTGTGCAAGTTGTTAAAGTCAATGTACCAAAAGCATACAGAAGTATTAGCATATAAGTACCAGCTCAGTCATATTGTCTGCTTCATCTGTGCCTACTTTTTACCGTCTTTTTCAAAACTTTCACTGCTGCTTAGTACATCCATTGCTTAGAGTCTTTCTCATGGTTCCCATTCAGCAGTACCTAGTGAAGCATCCATCTATTCAAGTTCCTGTGCATCCCTGTAGCAGAAGCTTTCTGTGTTTTGGTAACCTTAAAAACCCCAAATTGCAGAAGACCCTTTTTTTTTTTTTTTTTTCCTTTTTCTCTCTCATTCTCTCTTTCTTTCTTAATAGGGCTAATGAGTTTATACGTCTTCTAGGCAGTTCTACATTACAGGAACATTAATATTCTTTCCTTTTAAAAGGGCTTGAAGTAAATCCCATGACACTGGAAGAATTTTAGATACTGATTATTGGAAATTGGCTCTTGGTGATTTGCTCTTCAGATTTCCAGCTGAATTTAGCAAACTATGATTTCTGAAAAGCTTCCAGTAGTTTCTCATTAAAATTGCGTTTTTTTCATATGAGCATGATTTCCTTAATTTCATGATACATTTACGCCCTTTGAAAGGCACTGGTTGAAACATCGGAAACAATTAGCTCAAAAAAAAATTTAATTCTAAATGAAAGAAATAAATCTGCCAAAAACTCAATGCAAAACTGCATTTTTCATAAGCGCTTCTCTGAATTAACTATTATAGGATAAGTGTATAATTGTTAACAGACATTTTTCTGAAGTTGTCAAAGTGTTTGAAAATGAGAAAGAGAATGCTCTAAAAGAAAGAAAGAAAGAAAAAAAAAACGCCATCCACAAGTAATCAATGGCATGCTCACGTGGAATGGATTTGCAGTGCTTGTACTAATAAAATATAAGGCTCAATTAGAGATACTTTGCAGTTTTCAGGGTAAATTTAACTGATTTGGTGATTTGCAAATGCATGAATCCAAAAATAAAAATGAAGAATCCGAATGCAAATTAGTGCAACTGCAATAAAATATAATTGCAAATGAATCTGTTGCTTTATTCATTTATTGTGTAATTACTGCAATCCTTCCCACCTTGTTTTCAGTATTTCTTAATCATTAAGTCAGAAGCATGACAGCAGTGCCAGCCCTGGCATGATTCTCTTTGACTAAAACCTTGTAAATTAACACAATTAGCACAGCATCATCCTGCTAATTAACTTCCAGTGTCTGGTGCAGTGGTTTTGCAAACAAGGAAGGGAGAGTCAGAAGGGAATAAACATGCCAGTCTGTTACCAAACTGTGCGCTGTGTTAGGCTGAGCTCAGCGAGGCTAAGCTGGCCATGTCAGATGCCAGAGTCAGGCAATGAAGAGCTAAAGGGGTTGGGGAGAAAAACAGGAGGGGGTCGGAGCTGTCAAAATAGACGGCAGTAATTCAGAGGGGAGCTAGTGCCACAGATGCTTCATTTCGCCTAGGCCTCCTCCTTATCAGGGGATCTCTGCCAGAGGGCACAAGCCTGTTTGCAAAAATCACTTTTGGTAATACGAGAGAGATTAAGGAGGTCTATTTGATACAGCTGTACAAAAATCAGCGAGGTGGCTGCTGTGCATAGGTAAGAGTTGGTGTGTGGGGGTTATTGCTGCACTGGTGAATTGCCCTTCCCGCACACGGGGAGTTGCAGGGGGCATAATTCGCATCACGTTATTTGCAAGATTAATTGCTCTAAAATGGCAGTTGCATCCCGTCGTTAATTTTTTTTTTTTCTTTTTTTTTTTTCTCTTTTATCGATAGGATTTTATCCATGTTGCTCCCAGCTGCGGGAGCCACAGAACTTTTAGGACTTGGCTTCATTTCTTCTCCGTGGTTTTCCCTTCCTCCGCTCCCCGCTTTTCTTTGTACCCTGGAGGCTGCGGAGGGGCGGGGGCAGCAGGAGCGAGCAGGGAGACCACCAGACAAGTCATGCTTGTTTTTTTTTCCAGAGCCTCCACAACAGAACTGAGAGGCAGAAAGGAGCCAGTTGTAATTCATACCGAGTTGTAGGCTTTGTGTGATGAAAGCGACGGAGCGCTGCCTGGGAGATTGCTTTGCTGCACTCCACGAAGCAGATTTGAAACTGTCGTGGACCACTTTAGATGAGAGTTGGATTACGGAATGACCTGCTATGTCTGTGTCATATTGTTCTGCGCGGGGTGCATTATACTGCGCTAACTAGGTGTTCAGCGCCAAATAAGAGCGGTATCCTAGATGTGATCTGTCAGCTGTGTCTCATATTTTTATATTGGTTAAAATATGAAACTGCAACACTGATGAGAGAGGACAGAGCAGTTGGATGCCGTGTACATTAGCAATAAATCTGCGCTCCGAGTATTTAAAATGTAAGTCTTATTTAATTACTTCAGGAAATTGGGCGTTAGCTCAATTTTTTTTAAAGTGACAACCTCCCTCCACTGAATCGCCAAAAAATATGGCTCTGTGTATGTGCCTATAATAAACAAACCTGACTGTTTACATTGCTTCATAAGAGCATAGCTTTTTTTTTTTTTTTTTCTTAAGGATTTGTAGTATTAAATGCTGTGTTTTAGGCAGCTGAAGAAGTTTACAGATGGGACATTTGAGCACTTGCTTAAAAGCATCTGTAAAAAAGCTAAGGTCCGTTGTTAACTTTGTTTTTTCCTGCCACCGTAGGCTTGAAGATGCAGTGGACGCCGGAGCATGCGCAGTGGCCAGAACAGCACTTTGATATCACTTCGACCACCCGATCTCCTGCCCACAAGGTAGAGGCCTACCGGGGGCATCTGCAGCGCACCTATCAGTACGCCTGGGCCAACGACGACATCTCGGCTCTCACCGCCTCCAATCTTTTGAAGAAGTATGCGGAGAAGTACTCCGGTATCTTAGAAGGCCCGGCAGACCGGCCCATCCTCAGCAATTACTCGGAAGCTCCGTCAGGGCTGGTGAACGGCCGGAAGAATGAAGGCGAGCCCTGGCAGCCTTCGTTGAACTCGGAGAGCGTGTACCCCATGAACTGCGTCCCGGACGTCATCGCCGCCAGCAAGGCCGGCGTGAGCGCAGCCCTGCCTCCCGCAGACGTCTCTGCCAGCATCGGCAGCTCGCCCGGGGTGGCCAGCAACCTGACGGAACCCAGCTATTCCAGCAGCACCTGTGGAAGTCATACCGTTCCCAGCCTTCACTCGGGGCTCCCATCTCAGGAATATGCCACAGGATACAATGGATCTTACCTGCACACCAGTTACAGCGGCCAGCCAGCACCTGCACTTCCTTCCCCTCATCCGTCCCCCTTGCATAGCTCTGGGCTTCTCCAGCCACCGCCGCCGCCGCCGCCACCAGCCCTCGTGCCAGGCTACAACGGGACCTCTAACCTGTCCAGTTACAGCTACCCTTCTGCCAGTTACCCCCCGCAAACTGCTGTGGGTCCCGGCTACAGCCCGGGGGGGGCACCGCCTCCCTCCGCGTACCTGCCTTCAGGAATCCCTGCTCCTACGCCTCTGCCCCCCACCACCGTACCCAGCTACTCCTACCAGGGTCACGGTCTGACGCCCATTGCCCCGTCCGCCCTGACCAACACTTCAGCCAGCTCTCTCAAAAGGAAAGCTTTCTACATGGCAGGGCAAGGAGAAATGGACTCCAGTTATGGAAATTACAGCTATGGCCAACAGAGATCTACACAGAGTCCCATGTATCGAATGCCCGACAACAGCATTTCAAATGCAAACAGGGGGAATGGTTTTGACAGAAGTGCTGAAACATCATCCTTAGCATTTAAGCCAACAAAGCAGCTAATGTCCTCTGAACAGCAAAGGAAATTCAGCAGCCAGTCCAGTAGGGCTCTAACACCCCCATCCTATAGTACTGCTAAAAACTCACTGGGTTCGAGATCGAGTGACTCATTTGGGAAGTATAGCTCCCCGGTAATGAATGAGCACGGTGACGAGCACAGGCAGCTCCTTCCTCACCCAATGCAAGGCCCGGGACTTCGTGCAGCTACCTCATCCAACCACTCTGTGGACGAGCAACTGAAGAATACTGACACACACCTCATTGACCTTGTTACCAATGAGATTATCAACCAAGGACCTCCCGTGGACTGGAATGACATCGCCGGCCTAGATCTAGTAAAGGCCGTCATTAAAGAGGAGGTTTTATGGCCAGTATTGAGGTCAGATGCATTCAGTGGACTGACTGCTCTACCTCGGAGCATCCTTTTATTTGGACCTCGGGGAACAGGCAAAACATTAATGGGCAGATGTATAGCTAGTCAGCTAGGGGCCACATTTTTCAAAATCCCTGGCTCTGGCCTTGTCACGAAGTGGCTAGGGGAGGGAGAAAAAATTGTCCATGCTTCCTTCCTCGTGGCAAGGTGTCGCCAGCCCTCGGTGATTTTTGTTAGTGACATTGATATGCTTCTTTCTTCCCAAGTGAGTGAAGAACACAGTCCAGTAAGTCGGATGAGAACCGAGTTCCTTATGCAGCTGGACACTGTACTGACTTCTGCTGAGGACCAAATAGTAGTAATTTGCGCCACAAGTAAACCAGAAGAAATTGATGAATCTCTTCGAAGGTACTTCATGAAACGACTTTTAATCCCACTTCCTGACAGCACAGCAAGGCACCAGATAATAGTACAACTGCTCTCACAGCACAATTACTGTCTCAATGACAAGGAGGTTGCACTGCTTGTCCAGCGCACAGAAGGCTTTTCTGGACTAGATGTGGCTCACTTGTGTCAGGAAGCGGTGGTGGGCCCACTCCACGCCATGCCAGCCACAGACCTTTCAGCCATTATGCCCAGCCAGTTGAGGCCAGTTACATATCAAGACTTTGAAAATGCTTTCTGCAAGATACAGCCTAGCATATCTCAAAAAGAGCTTGATACATATGTTGAATGGAACAAAATGTTTGGTTGCAGTCAGTGATACTACTTTAAAAAAAAAAAAAAAAAAAGATGTAATGAATGTTGGCACACAAAGATCTAGAGCATCAGATAGACGTTCAGAGCA